CGAACACACAGTTGACCACGTGGCAGTCTCAGCTAGCCTAAAATAATATCAACGTGGCGAACACATAGTTGACCACGTGGCATCTCAGTTAGCCTAAAATAATAAAAACGTTTCGAACACACATTTGACCACATGGTAGTCTCAGCCTAATATAATAAGAACTTGGCGAACACATAGTTGACCATGTGGCAGTCTCAGTTAAGTCTAAAATAATAAGAACGTTTCGAACACATAGTTGACCACGTGACAGTCTCATTTAGCCTAAAACAATAAAAACGTGTCGAACACATAGTTGACCACCTGATAGTCTCAGTTAGCCTAAACAATGTGAACGTGGCGAACACATAGTTGACAACCTGGTAGTCTCAGTTAGCCTAAAATAATAATATCAACGTGGCAAACACATAGTTGACAACGTGGCAGTCTCAAGTTATCCTACAATAATGTATTGAGCTGATGTCAGCAGGTCACGTCACGTCGCTAAAACCTGTCGTATCAGTGAGGCAGGTGCCAGAGTGCTTGAGTTATAAAAAAATAAAATCTGGGTGCAATTAAAATGCATCACAGCAGTGAAATCTAGAATGGTAAGCGTCGGTAGTCGAAGCGTTTTTGTTTATTATGTTATGGCCTTGGCTCCGAGGTCGATCCAGCTGTGAATGAGTACCAGGAACAGTCTTGGGAAGTAAAGGCGACCGGAGTGGTGCCGACAACATCACTCACCGAAAGTCGACTACTCTATAAAATATAAGTCTAACCCTATATGTACAGTACGCATAAAGGCGTGAAAAAGAGTCCTTTACTCCCCCCCCCCCCACCCTCACCGCGACTGCGTTTTGGGATCCATCTTCGATTATATGCCTGGTTATGCATGCACACGTTTGATTAACATGTTTAAACTCCATGTATTACACACATAGACAGGTGTTGTTGCTTGAGCAAATGAATCAGTTTGACAGACTGCACTTGAATACATTGTCAGCTCAGAAAGGTCTCAGAACTGGTAGCAAATATAATAAATTCACACGAAAGCTTTGATCATTACAAATAAAGCACCAGTAATAGAAACAAAAACAATCACATTAACATGACCACGACGTAAGTACCCGAGTCGTAGGTCAGATACATCGATTTCCCATAGTTGTATCCTTGTAAACAACTGTGGAATTCATACACGAAAATATAAACACAACGGCTCCTTGGCTGAACGCAATCGCCGTCTTGTAAATGTCTGGTAATGTTCTGTAACTCCTCAAGCTAACTACATCACGCAAGCGATTTATTGTTAGACATCGAATCATACAGGAATGTTTCTCACAGCTTCAACATCGAATCATCCAGGAATGTTTCTCACAGCTTCAACATCGAATCATTCAGGAATGTTTCTCACAGCTTCAACACTGAATCATCCAGGAATGTTTCTTACAACTTTAAACTGACCACCACACAAGACATGGTTCACAGGCAACAGATAATAAAGTAAATGCAAACAATATATGTCCAGAAATGTAACAACGTTTGATAATTACAAATAAATATTTCAACAAGCTGACATCCACTTAAAGTTGGAGACGAATTATTTACTCGCAGGAGCTTCAGGATTGATTTCCTGGATTGTCGCGGAAGATTCAATGATTGATTGTTGAAACTCAGAAGGTAATTTATTACTTTAATTGTTAGAAGTAAGTGATAATTTATTATATCCACTCCTGGGGCTCGAAGATATTTGTTGAGTACTTGCCTTGATTGTTGTCAGTCAGTGATAACTGTGTACTTTGATTGTTATCACTCGAAGATAATCGTGTACTTAGTCGTCACTTGAAGTTAATTCACTTCAATCGTTGCCACTCGAAAATAATTTAGTACTTTGATTGTTGTCGCTCGGAGATAATTTACAACTTTGCACTCGAATATACCTTAGCATTTTGATTGTGGAAATTCGAGAAACAATTATTACAGTAACCGATTGAATTCAAAATTAAATAATCACTGTCATTGTTAGCACTTAAAAAAAAAAAACCACACACAATAACAAGTGGCATTGGAACAGCATTGTTTCTCCCCATCGGTTAAACTGGAATATAGTTGACTGCCAGATTGATTAAGATAGTCCACGTGTGGGTTTTAGAGTTCCATCGGGGAGAGAGACTGACTCCTAGTTCCTAATACGATGTAATACAAGCGAGCAGTTAGAGGTTTGCTGGATATAATGGGCGGAAATTGCACAAATATCGCAACCTAGCTGTCAACTACAACATAGTCTGCTAGTTGCTCCTTCAAATTACAGCACAGAAGAAGTTCGACTGCTAACATTTGAAAATAATTTCCTTCTTTCACTGAAGACAAATAATTACTTTGATTGTTGGTATAATAAGATATATAATTAATTTTAATAGTTACATTATTAATTTAGTAGTTAACACTCAAAGAAATTTAGTTTTTGTTTGGTTTGGGTTTATACAACGGATCAACATCATGGCCAAGGGTAGTAACCCATAAGTGCTCCGTTCTACTTCTAACTCAAGCCAGTCTGAAAAGTCTCAGGGCAGTGTACGAACTCCGTTACACCGGCGAGGCAGCTGAAATACTTTGGGTACATTTTTAACTCCAAATTTTGCCTTTGCAGCGTCGTTAGGCTACTCCTTTCCATTTCCAACTGCCAAGGGCTGGTTTACGTGCGCAAAAATACACACGGGCGTCCGATCTTACAACCCAGAGACCAGAGGAAATTGCCAGAAGTCCACGTGAAAAACTCCCAGCCTTCAACCGCGGTTTGAACCCTGGACCTCCAGCACTCGAGGCGGACGCTCTGCCTCGAGATAATACTTTGATTGTTGGCACTAGCAAATAAATTTTTAGTTCGATAGTTACCATTACAAAACAAGTTAGTACATTAATAGTTGGCACTACAAAAGATGTTAGTACATTAATATTTGGCACTCGAAGATATATTTATTAGCTTGATGTGGAAACTCATAGATTTACAGATGCACGAGGATTTCCTGGTTCCCACTGAAACGATGACAAATTACCATGTATGATTGACTGAGCTTTATGATGATTTTTGACAGTAGAAAGTATGGGCATCAATAAATAAGTTAGCACCAAAGAAATTATAACTCGCGAAAGGGAAAGTGGGCAGTGCAACAGTGGAATCAAGTAAGTCAGTAACGGAACCATTTCCCGCCATATTTTTACAAACGAATCGGTACTCAGTGAATGATGTGCTAAGCATCACGTCAGCCGCCCCAACTTCCCAGAAATATCCCAATACCCATTTGTGCTAAGTCGAGCTGGGAGCTAAGGTCACTGTATAAAGTCGACCAAGCAGATTTGAACCTAAGATTTTAGGCCCGGAGGCGGAGCTTAAAGGTACAGTTGAAAAACGGAATAAAGGTTTAGTTAAATAACTGTATTGTTAAACTATTGTTAAAACGTTTATTTACAACAGAATGAAGGTATAGTTAAAAAGCAGAATTAAATATTTATGAACAGGATATTAGCAATATAGCTGAATAGAGACATAACACTACGAAAAGCTCTCTGTTACAAGAAGGCTTCCATTCATAGTCACAGTAGTCTGACTGAGAATGTGTTATAACTGAGCGGTAATTTAGATCAAGTAGCAACTCTCTGATTAAGTAGCTAGTAATATCTATGAAACAGTTGTCGGAGGCAGGGTTATCGTATAACTGACAACTGTTTGAGGCAAGGTTAACGTATAACTACCAACTGTTTGTGGCAGGGTTACAGTATAACTGACAACTGTTTGAGGCAGGATTAAAGAGTAACTGACAAATCTTTGAGGCAGGGTTAACGTATAACTACCAACTGTTTGTGGCAGGGTTACAGTATAACTGACAACTAAGGCCGGGTTAAGTATAACTACAAACTGTTTGAGGCAGAGTTAACGTATAACTGACAAATCTTTGAGGCAGGGTTACAGTCTAACTACCAACTGTTTAAGGCAGAGTTAAAGTGTAAGTGACAAATGTTTGAGACAGAAAGAGTTAAACTAATAACCAATTAAATAAACTTTAGGACAGAACAAGTTAACTCAACGACCACGTAACAACTGTTTCAATCAAAGGCAGTTAAACTAATGACCATGTAAAATGTTTCAGACCGAAAGAGATAAAATAATGCACTGTATATATGAATCCCGACATAATCACCAACAAACGTAACAAAGCTGACGACATCGGTTCACGACAGACGAATATAACAGGGTGGATAGAGGAATTGGCGCCAATATAAAATAATAATTTATATACCTATGTACAATTTCCAGTATACAGTTACAACAGCCACAGACAACATGGCAATAAAATGTTAATATACAAACTCAACACGCAAGCGTTGTCAACAATGAATTACACATGATGCTGAGATATTCCAGTAAGGTTGAAGCAAAATTCACAAGTCACTCAAAATGCCTCGCTGTTATATGAGGACAAGTTTCATTCGTTAATTTCTGGGATTTGGTTCTTATGTTGTGTTCAATGGACAAATTAATTTATGGCTCTATGACAAGAGCTTGATTGTTTTATCTTATGTTAGGTCATGTCGGTGAAATAGAGCAGGCAACATAATCTACTGAAAGTGTCAGCTTGTAGCCCGGATGTGCTTACTGCACAGCGACGACGTCTCAGAATGGTTGACGATTACCCAACAAGATGGTTAGCAACATCTGATCTCATTGTTTGGCTTCATCAATATTTTGTTGAAGAGCTGATCTTAGGTAGCTACACAACAGTATCCTAAAAAATATTATTTCAGACTTGGCTACATTACAGATTCATTTGTAAAAAGTCTAGTCTTAGCATTGACTACACTTAGATATAGTTGACAAAAGTTTACCTAAACTACAGTTACACAAGGAATTCGTTAAAAAGAGCTATTTTTTTAAAATATATATTTGAGAACATAATAATATGATTAAAGAAAAGATCTCGTAGCCTTAGTCTATATAAATGTTGTTAAAGAGTCGCTTTGAACCTTAGCTACACAACGACATCGTTAAAGAAGAGCTGGTCTATCTCTTGACGCAAGTCGTCGGCGTTGATTGTATAGCTCCCAGATGTTGTTGTCGTGTTGTCGTCGTCCCGGTGAGTTCCAACCGTGCTGGCCTCATCCAGAACATCGTGCACGTCACCGAGAGAATACCCTTCCCCCATCAAAGTGTTCTGTGTGTCATTTACGGGCGTTCTCTGTGATGATTTCCCATGCAGACCGATTTTGGATACATTGACAGATCTGTTGTTTGAATGATCTGTCGGCCTGTTACAGGATCTGCCGCCAGTGCCATTGTTTGAGAGATCATTAACGTTACTGCTGCCTGTTTCTGACACCGGATGTCTGTGTACGTATTTTGTCGACCGAGCAGTTCGTGTAGGTTCTGAAAGGATGACACTGTCCACGAACATCCCGTGCCTTGTGGACGAGTCCTCAACTGGAATTCTGGAGAGGTTTGCCGTTAGCGACGTGTCCGAAAGAATAGATGGTGATAATTTATGGCGCTGAGTTGAGGTTAGATTTGAGGCAGTGGTTGGGGAGTTATGCTTCACATCCACGAATTTCTCCACTGTGGGTAAATAACTGGTCTGTCGGCGAGAGCCGTCTGAGATGTCTGTTCTAATCGTCAGAGAATCGTGTTTATCGTCACAGCTGGGGCGCATGTGATTGCCAACTGTGGCGTTGGCAGTTACACTATCGTCACTAAAGCTAATGTTAGGTTTGTAACCCGATGTCTCTGAAAGACCCAGAATATGTAAGGGACTATCTGAAGATAAACGATGAGACAACGTTGTCCCGCTGCCGGATGTTGTCGGTGTAGTGTCTTCCCAAATTCGTTTCTTGGCAGTTTCTGAGCTCATCGAGGTGGACAAGGATCTAGGCTGATGGGACAAGCTGGACGACGATGCGGGAGATCTCGGAGAGCCAAACGTAATCAGGTGACCAGGACTAGTGTATATTTTCGCTGGTGTTCGAGCTCGATCTGAAAAGAAAAAAAAAAACAAGGGTAAGCGTGATCGTTCATATTATTTCGTAGAACACTAATGTTGAGGAGAGAAGAAAAGAAGTAGTTTTCATGTCAATTGTGGGTCATGTGGTGAACAGCTACCAGTCACATTCACTTCCCAGGATATATTTTTAGATGCCTATTTCCCCAGTGTGGATGCCTATTTCCCCAGTGTGGGTTCTGGGCCCCAGTGTGGGTGCTGGGCCCCAGTGTGGGTGCTGGGCCCTATTATGAGGAATTCAGAAAAAAGAAAAAAAAAAACCACTGCCTCCCTAACAAGTATGTTGTAAGAGTAGACTAACTGTCAGTTTTCTTCGAAGTGAGTGCACCTGTCTGAAAGGTGAGGAACCAATAGTTTGCATACAAATAAGCCAGACCTATAAAACGGCTATGCAAACAAAACTCGAAAGACTAATGTCCAGAAGTGGAACAATAACCAGAAGTTTCGGCCCGAGTTTACAACCAGTCAAGGTGAAGGAGAGGAACAAGATACCCAGGTTAGGATGGGTCTACATAGGAGCAGTAGTGGGAAAAAAAAATCACTCCGGTGTGGATTCGAAAGCAAGAACTTTGTGTTGGCAGGCAAGGGTCTAGCCATCTCTCTACTGCGGCTCCCAATAAACTAACATATATGTAACATTAACCCCGTAAATTCCACACATGTTATTTACATGGACACGTTCTTTCCAATGCAGTTGCAGTTCAAAGTTGCAAAATATCGAATCTAAAAGAATTAACATTAGAAACCTGAAGACAATCAGCTACACTTCCAGTTCTTTGTGTGTGGGTCAGTGTAACAAAATCATGTGACAGACGGAAGCAACGTGATTACATTATGTAACAGATGTAAGCAAGATGGTTGCATTGTGTAACAGACGGAAACAAGACAGTTACAATGTGTAACATATGGAAGCGAGATTGTTACATTGTGTAATAGATGGAAGCCCGGCTTTCTAGCGTAGTTGGTTAAACCGGACTGGGCGGTGACTGGGTGACGAACTCCATGTGGTCCGGGTTCACGCCCGGGGTAGGCAGAAAAGCCACATTTCTCCCAGATTTACGGTATTTATGATGGAATGAAGGCCAAAGGGTTGCAATATTCATAATACCGAGCCTAAGGGTTAACAACTCATGGCTTCTGGATACTAAATAAAAATATTTAAAAAAAAAGATGGAAGCTAGATGGTTACAATGTGTAACAGATGAAAGTAAGATGGTTACATTGTGTAACAGATGGAAGAAAGATGGTTACACTGTGTAACAGATGGAAGATGGAAGCAAGATGGTTACATTGTTTAACAGGTGGAAGCAAGATAGTTACAATGTGTAACAGATGGAACCAAGATGGTTACATTGTGTAACAGATGAAAGCAAGATGGTTACACTGTGTAACAGATGGAAGCAAGATAGTTACACTGTGTAACAGATTGAAGCAAGATAGTTACATTGTGTAACAGAGAGAAACAAGATCGTTTCACTGT